CCTTGTCCTTCCACCATGTGAGGACACAGAGAAGGCACCACTACCAAACAGGAAGAGGGCACTCACCAGACACCGAATCTACCACCGCCTTCGTCTTGCACTTCCCAGCCTCCAGATTTCTGCTGCTTATAAACTGCCCAGTTTATAGTATTTTGTTAAAGCACGAGAAGAATGGGCTCAGTCACCGACCAAGACGCCGACCATGTGGGCTAGAGACCACTCCTTGTACTCTACACAATTTCCCAGGTCCTCTGAGGGGATTGGGGCCTGGAAAGAAAGGGGAGAGGGGGCGAAGTAGAACTCCTAGGGCAAAGCCTAAAGGTGACGTGAGCCTTGAAGGGCCTGAGAGGGGAGCAGTGAGGTACCAGCTCTGGCCGCGGGGAAATTCCAGGGAAGGGAGGCAAGGATGATCACCAGCGCCTAGAGAAGAAGAGGGAGGAGAGAGGACAGAAGGATAGGAGTGGCGAGATCGGGAGGCCCTGGCGCCCACCCCGCCCGCAGAAGGGTCCCCAGCTGACTGACTGGGAAGGCGCAAGGCCAAAGGCAGGGACCCGGGGTGTGGGGTGGGGGCGGAAGTAAGGGTGGAGCGGGAAGAGGGGGGATTTAGGGGAATCCGTGAGCCCCTGTGGGACGGGGAGGCCCCGAGGATCCAATCTTTGAACTGATGGCCCAAGGCCGCAGGGGGGCAAATAAAAGGAAAGGGCTGGTCCTAAGCGGTGGATGGAGCAACGGGCTCCCCGCTGGGCCAAGGAGAGGCCCGAGTAGACGCTCCCCTCAACCCAGTGCCCACTCTCCCTTCCAGCTTCCGTTCTGCTTCTCCAGACCTGGGCCGGATCTTCCAGACGCTGCCGCCGCCACCCAGACCCAGCGCAGACATAGGCCAAAGCAACAATGCCTCAAGAAGGCGCGGAAAGATGATTGCCAATCAGAGGTTGAGGGCGAGTCTGGCGTTCTGAAACGCAGCCAATCAAAGAGAGAGGAACAGGGCGGGAACTCCATAGTGACGCAAGCTCTCTGGCCCATCAGAGCTGAGAGCGATGGCAGACGTTACGCTACGCAACAAGAACTGTAACCAATCGCCGCTGGAGTTTCCCAGCAAATCGTAAGTCTCGCTTCCCCTGACGCAGAAATTGATTGGTCCCTTTTTAGAATTTGCCTGCCAATTTTGGAAGGTGAGTAAAAGACATTCCCTTAGCAACCTAGATCCCGCCCCCGCTCTCTCAGTCTGGGAGACAGGCGGGGGGCGAGGAGGGGGCAAGCTTAAAGGGCCAGGTACATGGTAAGCGGAGAGGTCGGACCCTTGGTTTCCAAGTCGAGTCGGACCCCATCACGGTAATACCGAAGCAGAAGCAATTAAACAAGCTAGAGGGAATCCCATCACGAGGAAATTGAGCAGTGAGCGCCATCTCGCGAAGAAACGGAGACTCGGAAGGCGTGGGCAGCTTGGTCAAGGTCCCGCGCCTGTAAGTGCCGCAGCCGAGATTTGAACCCGCACTTCTGAGCTCTGCCTAGACATAAGCTGCCTTTTTGGGATATGAAGCAGCCAGAAGGATAGACCCAGACTTGGAATCTGGAGATCTGGGTTCTTCTCACAGTCACCAGGAAAGAAAGGAAAGCCAGCTCGCTTGATAAAAAGCCTTCTACTCCGGCCACTCGGGGTCACCAGCACCATCCGGCACAGGGCGATCCTACTCCCTGGGTTTTCTCGTCCTTAAAATGGAACGTCCGTGAACTTCTTGTAAGAAAATGCATATTCAAAGGGGCTGCTCAGCCTGGGCTCCCCATTACCCACTCTCAGCAGTCCAGCAGCAAGTCTTGACGGCCCTTCCACCAAAATGCATCTCAAATCCACCCGTATCTCCCCTCCCCACTCGCCCTGCCCTCCTCGGAGCTCCCACCGCTCCTCTCCTGCATGACAGCGGCATCCTCCCTAGGCTTTCTGCTGGCACTCCTGCCTTCCGTCACAATCCCTTCTCCAAACCTCAAAGTGCTCATCTTAAAACATAAGTCAAAGCATATCACCCCTCTAATTACAAATGTTCAAAGTAATCTCAATACTCTTATAATTAAAAAATAGAAATAAAAAGTCAAAAATCTTTATTGCACCTATAAGGCCCTATATAATGTGGCTCCTACTTGTGTCTCTATTAAAAGCACAGACTCACTCAGTGTAATTCCAGCACGGTGGGAGGCCAAGGCAGGAGGATCGCTCAAGGCCAGGAGTTTGAGACCAGCCTGGACAACAGAGCAAGACCCTGTCTCTACAAAAAATTAAAAAAATTAGTAGGTTGTGGTGGTGCGTAGCTACAGTCCCAGCTACGTAGGACTCAGGAGGTTGAGGCGGGAGGATCACCTGAGCCCAGGACTCCAAGGCTGTAGTAAGCTATGATTTTGCCACTGCACTCCAGCCTGGGCAACAGCAAGACCTTGTGTCAAAACAAACAACAAGAAAAAACTGCTAAGCATACAATCTACAGCCAGGCTTCCTGGCTTCAAATTCCAGCTGTGCCGCTGACTAGCTCTGCGACCTGGGGCAAGTTAGTTTGGTCATCTGTGGAATAAGGATTAAAGGAGTTAGTATTATTCAATTAAAATAGGGCTCCCTTTCATAAAATGTACTTGGTACTTAGTACTCCCCAAAACTGTCAAGAGCATATAAAACAAGGAAAGACCAAGAAACACCGCAGATCAGAAGAAACCAAAGAGACAGGATAACTGAATACAGCGAGACATTCTGGATTGGATCCTGGAACAAGAAACAAAGGATATTTAGTGTAAAAACCAGTAAAATCCTAATAAAGTATGGAATTTACTTCGTAGTTCTGTTGGTTTCTTTTTTCTCTCTCTCTTTTTCTGGATGAGGTTCTGGGGCCCCAAGAGAGGGGGGCCCCAGAAGTCACCCCTGTTGGTTTCTTAGTTGTGACAAATGTACCACGACAGTGTAAGATGGTACCATTAGGGGAAGTTGAGTCATGAGTGTGTGCGAATTCACTGTGTTATCTTTGTAAAGTCTGTAAATATAAAAGTATTCCAAAGTAAAAGAGCTATTTATCTCTTCTTTGCTGATTCCTTTCTAGTCCCTCAAACACTATGCTTGTTCTACCCTCAGAGGCTGTTCCCTCCACCGGGAATATTCAACTTTCAGGACTTCTGGCACTTTCCACAACAGCCTTTACCTTACCTAAAATATCCCCTCCCCTAGTGCCTCTACATCCCTGGCCCAGATTTCACATCTCAGGTACTTATTCTTATAGAAAATGTACTGTTTACCAGCTGGGCGTGGTGGCTCACACCTGTAATCCTGGCACTCTGGGAGGCCGAGGTGGGAGTATCGCTCAAGATCAGGAGTTCAAGACCAGCCTGAGCAAGAGTGAGACCCCATCTCTACTAAAAAATATAGAAAGAAAGAAATTAGCTGGACAACTAAAAATACATAGAAAAAATTAGCCGGGCATGGTGGCGCATGCCTGTAGTCCCAGCTACTCGGGAGGCTGAGGAGTCTGAGGTTGCTGTGAGCTAGGCTGACACCATGGCACTCTAGCCTAGGCAACAGAGCGAGACTCTGTCTCCAAAAAAAAAAAAAAATGAGGAAAATGTTGTTTTCTGTTTATGTTCTTTTGTCTCCCTCACAAGTATGCAAGTTCCTGAGAGTAGGGGCTGTATCTATCTCGTCCCCAGTGCACAGCCTGGAACCCAGCACACAGTAGGCACTGAATAACTATTTCTTAAATGACTGGGTAAGAATGACAACTGCTTCTCAATATAATACTACCATGACTATCAACTATATCTCCCTTATTCAGGCTGGTTGTAGTCCAGACTCTCTGTTTACTTTACACATGTGATATCACAAGCACCTCACAAAAACCTGGCTGGTAATATTAGCCCCATTTCCCAGATGGAGACACTGAGGCATAGAGCCTAGAAGGACGGAGGGGCGCAACGCCAGTCAGAGCCAGAGCACAGAGTGGAATGCGGCCCCTGGAACTGCTAAGACCCAGGCCATGTACTACGCCCCCTGCCCGAGAGGGCGTCCAGAAGTCCAGATTCCACCGCCTAAACCCGTCAGCCCTAAAGAATCGTCCTGAGGGCACGGGCAGGGAGAAGGAGAGAAAGGAAGAGGGCCGGGAGCCTGGTACTGCTGGACCTGAGGGACGAAGGGGGCTGGAAGCCCAGATCCCGGGTCTGCGGGAGGAGGGCTGGGCCTGGGGCCGGGGCCGGGGCCAGGACACGAGGGCCGCGCTCGGACACGCGGCCGGGCTGCTCGCCCGCGGCCCGCTCCCTCCGCGCCCCGACACGGCCCGACTGCTCGCCCGCGGCCCCCTCCCTCCGCGGCCCGCTCCCTCCGCGCCCCCACACGGCCTGGCTGCTCGCCCGCGGCCCGCTCCCTCCGCGCCCCGACAAGGCCCGGCTGCTCGCCCGCGGCCCGCTCCCTCCGCGCCCCCACACGGCCCGGCTGCTCGCCGCGCCGCGCTCCTCCGCGCTTCCCACACGCGGCCGCGCAGGGCATGCTCAGCGCGAGCCCGCTCCGCCTCCGCGCCCCGGACACGTGCCCGGCTTGCTCGCCCGACGCGGCCGCTCGCCCTGTCCGCGCCCGCGCACACACACCGCAGGCCGGCCGGCTGGTCAGCCGACGGGCCAGCGGCCCAGTCAAGCGCGCGGGCCCACACGACAGCCCGGCTGCTACGCCCGCGGCCCGCCTCCGCCTCCGCCCCACACGCGGCCCAGGCTGGGCGTCGCCCACGCGCGCCCGCTGCCCTGCCGGAGCTCCCCCCCATACACGCGGCCCGGCATGACATCGCCCGCGCTCCGAACTCACCTCGACGACCACCCACACGCGAGGCCCGGAGCTGGACACTCGAAACCCGCGCCCCGCTCCTCCGGCGCCACCCACACGCGCAACCGGGCTGCTCGCGCGTGCGGCCCCGCTCCACTCACGCGCCCCACACACGCGGGCCCGAGCATGCTCGCCCGCGGCCCGCTCCCTCCGCGCTCGGCGCCCGAGCCCCGCCCCCGGCTTCCCGGCCCCGCCCCGCCTCCAGGTCTCTGGAAGGATCTAGGGCAAGCCGCTAGAAGTCGCCTCCGAGCCCCGTAGAGATGGAACAGCTGAAGGACGGGGCTGAGCCCCAAAGGTGAGGGAAACAGACCTCCCCAGAGGGGACAGAGACCCAGACAGGAGGGGACACAGAATCTCAGAGGAAGAGAGTTGAACAGACCCAGAGAGCATGTGAAAACAAATCGCTCAGGTATCATCACATAGAAACAGAATGTTTTGTTTTGTTTTGTTTGAGGCAGAGTCTCACTCTGTCACCTGGGCTAGAGTGAGTGCCGTGGCGTCAGCCTGGCTCACAGCAACCTCAAACTCCTGCGCTCAGGCGATCCTCCTGCCTCTCAGCCTCCCGAGTAGCTGGGACTACAGGCATGCGCCACCATGCCCGGATAATGTTTTCTATATATTTTTAGTTGGCCAATTTATTTCTTTCTAATTTTTTAGTAGAGACAGGGTCTTGATCTTGCTCAGGCTGGTCTCAAACTCCTGACCTTGAGCAGCTCGCCTGCCTTGGCCTCCCAGAGTGCTAGGATTACAGGTGTGAGCCACCACGCCCAACTGAAACAGAATCTCAGAGGATCTTGGTGACAGAGTTGGGTGAGATATTTAGAAATAGGGAGAGAGCTAGAAACAGATAATCATTTGTCAAACAGAGAAACTCCCAGGAATGAACCAGGAGACTTGAAGATGCCAGAAACAGCCATAGGGCTAGCGGAATAATAACAGTCCACAGTTTTTTAACATGGACCAGCCCTTTTGCACGAACCTTTGGCGCCACTGAAGGCCATCTGTGGGTATGAAAAACTAGGCTTCGGGATGGGAAAATGACTTGCCCAGCGACACACCACAAGCAAGACAGCGGGAATTGAAACTGAGTTCTGTCTGGCACTGCAGGTAACAGTTGTCTGCCTCTCTGGAACGAGAACACAGGTCGGCACAAATAGAGAAAGGAAGGAAGAGTGAGGTCAGAGGTAGACAGACTGAGGATGGGGACAGAGGACTGCTGCAGACATACAGGGCAGCCAGGCAGCAATGAGGGAAGAAATTCAGAGACGGTGAGACCCACTGACCTGTCTTGCTGTCATTCTAGGAACAACCTGTCCCTGCCATCACCTGGAGCTGAGCCGTGGCCCTCCGCACCTACCCCAGCCCTGCCAGCCTCGCTCCTGAGTGCCCCAGACCCTGCCCACCTGGGGCTCCCTGAGAGCCTGGCCTCTGTTACTGTGCCCATCCGGCTGGACACCCTCTCCTGCCTCCTGCACAGCGCCCTGCTCGGGGCTTACACCCTCCAGCAGTCCCTGCCCTCCTGCCCCTGCTGCCCCCAGGCGTGCCACACCCAGCCGGGCACAGCCAGGAGGCCTCCCAGGGGACGCGGGGGGTGGGAAGGCCGACCTAGGCCAGGCTGGGGCCAGAGACAGCAGCGACGGGGGCCTGGGAGAGCTGAGCAGGCAGAGAGCGACTGGGCAGGGGGCCCTGGGGCTGGCCCCGAGACCCCACCCAGAATGCCGCCGACACTGCCTGCCCAGGGTGGGAAGAAGGAAGCCCGAGGTGGGGAATCACCCCTGGGCACTCCACCTGCTGCCGAGGACTGGGAGACAGAGTACTAGGGTGCTGGAGGGTCCAGCGCCCGGGACCCAGGTCCCCCAGGGGATTTTCCTGGAGCCCAGAGTGACGTTAGCCCTGTCTGAGGTACCCCAAGAAACATCCTGTTCCCATTCTCCCCCGCCCCCCGAACCATGGCCTCAGAAGTAAGTCCTTCAACTCACCTGATGAGCCTCGACCTAAGTCGCCTGACTCAGGGTCCCAAACCAGAGAAAAACCCTGAACCTCACACCCATGCCCAAAGCCCTGCCTGTGCCCTGGTGGCTCAACCCGTTCCCAGCACCACCCCCAGCTGTAACTACAGTCTTACCCTCATTCCCCACCCCCAGGGCTCCTCCAGCCCTATCCCCAACCGTTCCTCACCCAAAGCCACTGCCACCTGCCTGTCCAGCCCGGCCCCTCCCACTCTCAACACCAAATCCCAAGCTCAATCCTCAGCCGAACCCACCCTCTTTCTCCTCATCCCTGCGTGCCTCAGCCCAACCCTGTCCTCGTCTTTAACTTCTCCTAAACTCCAGCCCTGAACAGCCCCATCCTCAACCCCTTTCTGTCCCAGCCCTGCTGTGGCATCCATGCGGGCACCCCACACCCTGGCCCAACGTTCAGACGCCTGGAGCACCTCACCCCATTTCCTGCTCTTCAGGCAGGAAGCTCCAGTTGAACAATAAACAGGTGGCTGTCCCTATGTCGTGTGTGTCTGTGTGTGCTTACACAGCTCAGGCCAGCCCGGCCCAGCCCTGGGGACTGGGGAGGGGCACAGAGGGAGGCCAGGGAGCCCGGCTGGGGGCGGGGAGCCCCGGACCCCTGCTTCAGCGAATTCCACTGCGGCCCTGCCACCACTGCACTTCTGCCTGCTGGAAGCTGCTGGGCCTCGGGGCCATTGTGTGGGGAGGCTTAAGGGATTTGGGGGACCCAAGGGTGCAGACAGGCCAGAAACCTGGCTCAGCTCAGTCTGCACAGAGGGGCCGAGGCAGAAGGAGGGCTTGGGGCAGGCTCTGCCGCTCAGGTAGGCACCGGGCGTGGGCCCTGCGGCCTCCTCCTTCCCCACAGGTCTGCGCTCCTTCCAGCTCCTCTCTCTCCCAGGGACCTGGTGGGAGAGAAAGGTCCCCAGTCCCCTTCTCACCTGGGACCTGAGAATTCAGGACCATTCCTTGCTCAGAGCCCAGAAGTCCAGGTCCCCAGCCCATCATCCCTCTGATCCTTCCAGGTCCCCAGGCCCCTTTTCCCCCAGGCCCCAGGGATTCTGGAACCCAGCCCTCCTCCCTCAGGCCCAGGGTCCAAGCCCCCAGGCCCCCTCCCGAGGACCCAGGGGTCTGGGTGTCCTGCTCCTTCTGCCAGGAAACAGGTGTCCTCCCCTCAGTCCCTTCCTCTGCCAGGACCCGGAATCCAGCTGCCAACCCTATCTCTCCCCTTCCCCACAGATCACCATGTACAGCTTCATGGGTGGTGGCCTCTTCTGTGCCTGGGTGGGGACCATCCTCCTGGTGGTGGCCACGGCAACAGACCACTGGATGCAGTACCGGCTGTCGGGGGCCTTCGCTCACCAGGGCCTGTGGCGGTACTGCCTGGGCGGCAAGTGCTACCTGCAGACAGAGAGCATCGGTGAGCCTCTGGCCAGGGCCCGGGCTGTGCAGGGCAGAACCTGGGGCTCAAGGGCTGCCTGTATCCCAGACAGAAAACCCTGTGGCTCAGAGACGGAAAGGGAGCAGTCTGAGGTCACTCAGCATGGAAGAGGCAAAATTGGGGTCTCAGGGCTGTTTTCTAGTTGTCATTACAGGGTGTACCAGTTTGAGGTTAAGTCAAGAGAGGTGGCATTTCCTGACACGTAGAAGGTGTCAGGCACAGCAGTTGGGGCTGGGGTTGCCGGAGCAGCATTTTCTAAATATCTGCTAGGGACCAAGGACTATGTTAGGTACTGGGGGTACAGAAGCAAAAGGAGCCCTAAGTTTGCTAAATGCTGGATGAAGTATGTTTTACTACTTAACTATGTGCCAGGCCATGTTTTATATATATATGTGTGTGTGTGTATGTGTGTATATATATATCTAGAGAGAGAAAGAGGTAGATACATACAGATATATAGCATATTATATGACACATATCATATATTATATATTAATAAATTAATACTATATCTAATACATCATTACACTAAATATTATGTGATGAATTGATAAATTAATAACATACAGTGTAAGTGTATATCTTACACTAAATGTTACATACTAAAATATATAATATACTGTATATTACTAGTAGTAATAATGATAATAATATCTGGCATTTCTTGAGTGCTCACTATGCCCTATGTGCTATTCTGAGCACTTTACATATATTAATTCTATTCCTTCTCCCAACAACACTAGAAGGGGGGTTCAGTTGCATACAGGAAGAGAAGGGGAGGTTTGACCTCAAAACTCAAACATTCTCTCGAGGAGGGTGAGACGAGCAGCTGACCCGCAGGGAGCCCTGGTGTGACAGGCACGTGCAGGGATCTCCCCAGCCCAGTCCCACTGAGCCAACCTGAGCCTGCGTGATGCCTGTTTGCCGGAGTGGTAGACTGAGGCAGAGAGAAGAGGAAAGGGTTGTCCCTGGGCACCAGCCTCAGAGCCCAGACTGCCTGACGTCACCCACAGCTGTCTCATTTGTGACACTTCCACCTTTTCTCCTGCTTCAGACTGGGAACACCCTGAGGGACAGATCAGAGCCACCTCCATATCTTATCTCTGCTGGGGACTGGGATAGAGGGAGGCTTGGTAAAGGTCTTGGGTTCACTGGACATGCTCAGGACCACAAACACAAAACCCTTGGGCATTCCGGAACAGCTGGCTCAACTTGCTCATCAACTGTGGCTCACTCGCCAAAATTAAAGTTGGGGTCCTTAACTTGACTCCCAGGGGCCAAGCCCAACCTCCAATGGGTTTTATTGGGTCTGCCTGGTGTTTTTAAAGTTTCTGAATTGGTTACCAGTATTTAAAAATCTGGCGATTTTTACATACAAATATAGACGTGCAGCTTTGCAGCTCTTTTTGAAAAAAAGCCTGGCCAAGCACAGTGGCTCACGCAGGTAATTCTAGCACTTTGGGAGGCCGAGGGGGAAGTATTGCTTGAGGCAAGGAGTTCAAGACCAGCCTGAGCAAGAGTGAGACGCCATCAGCTTCATAAAACAACAACAAAAACAACTAGAAAAATGAGCCAGGTGTGGTGGCACACACCTGTAGTTCTAGCTACTAGGGAGACTGAGGCAGAAGATTGTTTGAGCCCAGGAGTTGGAGGTTTCAGTGAGCTATAATGATGCCACTGCACTGTAGCCTGGGCGACAGAGCAAGACCCTATCTGAAAACGAACAACCAAAAAACCAAAAACACCTGCCAAAAAAAAAAAAAAAAAAAAAAAAAACCTCCAAATTTCACATGTCCCTGACAACAGCTGGGTGTGAGCAGTGGCTACCCCACGTCCCCTTTAGGAGACAGAAACTGCACAGTAATTTGAATGGGGAAGGTTCTCTGTAAAAGTGGAGCTGAGAGGCAATACATTGACTGTTGGTACATGGGACGTACATGTCTAGTTCCTCCTCGTCTCCACCCCAGCCTGCTCCCCAGCCGATCCCCGGCCCTTGTTTGCAGCTGACTCTAGCCCTCAAAGGCACTTGCATTTTCCACTTCTAGCACAATCGTAAGAAAGAAATCAGCTATAACAAGCCCCATAAGTCCTCCAGACTTTTAAATACCCAGAGAGCTCTGTTTGAGATTTTTGCCATAAGAAAGTACCAGGCCGGGCACAGTGGCTCACGCCTGTAATCCTAGCACTCTGGTAGGCCGAGGCGGGCGGATTGCTCCAGGTCAGGAGTTCGAAACCGCCTGAGCGAAGAGCGAGACTCCGTCTCTACTATAAATAGAAAGAAATTAATTGGCCAACTAATATATATAGAAAATTAGCCGCATGGTGCGCGATGCTGTAGTCCCAGCTACTTGGGAGGCTGAGGCAGGAGGATTGCTTGAGCCCAGGAGTGGAGGTTGCTGGTGAGCTAGGGTGACGCCACGGCACTCACTCTAGCCTGCAAACAAAGTGAGACTCTGTCTCAAAAAAAAAGAAAAGAAAAGAAAGTACCAGAGTTTGGGGGCGTAAACAACAGAAATGTTTTGTCTCATAGCTCTAGAGGCCAGAAGTCCAAGATCAAGGTGCTGCAGATTTGGCTCCTCCTGAGGGCGGTGAGGGAGAATCTGTTTCATGTCTCCCCTCCACTGGCTTCTGGGGCTCTGCTGGCTCCTTGGCACTCAGTGGCCGGTAGATGCGTCCCCTCCGTTTCCACCTTCACCACAGACCTTCCTCTTCCTGCGTGCATGTCTGTGTCCACTTTCCCTCTTTAGGCAGGACGCCGGCCATGGATTAGAAGCCCACCTTGCTACAGCATGACCTTATCTTAACTAACTGCATTTGCGATGACCCTATCTCCAAGTAAGGTGCCATTCTGAGGCACAGGGAGTTACAACTTCTACATATAAATTTGGGGGACAAGGTGGCATAATTTGACCTGTGATAACTAACATCCATGGAGAACAGCCAGGAATTTTTCTCACTTAGGCTCAGCCCAAGGACCGCATTTTGCAAACATGCTAGGCTTTTTATAATACTTTTCCATGGCAGGATCCAAGTTCTACCTGGTGTGTACAACTGCCCTGGGTGCTCCGAGAGACAAGATAGCCAAGCAGTTAGGAGTGTGGGCACTGGAGTTGGGGTTTGCACTCCGTCCTGCTTCTAATTACGGGGCCTCAGGCAAATCACTTTACCTCTCTGAGCCTCAGTTTCATCACCTGAAAAATAAGAATTAAAACAGCACTTACAGCATAGGGCTCACGGAAGGAACAAGATCATACCTGGGGAGCTAGCCGCTGTAGGTGGCGGTTGCTAAATGCAGGGCGAGGTCAGGACTGTTGTTCCCACGGCGCCTCCTAAAGGGCCAGCGCGGGAGAGCGGTCCAGTCACGCATCCAGCGTGTTTATTGAGCACCTGTCATGTGCCCCGCGCTAGGTGCAGGGGCTGCGGCGATGAAAGAGACAGCAAGGCCCTTGTCCTCACAGAATTTTGTGGGGAGAGACAGACATTTTCAATAAATTAAAGCAAATCAATAGGACAGTTGTAGACACGAGCAAGAGGTATAAAGGAAATGGAAGAGAACAGTGCACAAGAGGATAGTGACTCCCAGGAGGATATAAGCGATCAGCATTCTTTTTCATTTATTTATTCATTCGACAACATTTCTCCGGGCCAATGTGCCACCAAACCTGCGGTCGGGGTGCTCATGAGACTCCGTCCTCGGGGGCCATCAGGCTGGAGGAGTAGGCAAAAGAGCCACACCCCAAGTAGGGGCGGATATGCCTGAGGGGCGAAGGGAGCTTCCTAGAGGAGGGGTCTGGGGAGCTGGGCTTTGGAGGATGAGTAGGAGTTTGCCAGGTGAAGAAGAAGGCTTTTGCGAAGAAGTGACAAGGAACTGGGTGAGGGAGATGGAGAGGGGCGAGGCATTCTCCTCCCAGAGGCGGCAGCAGCCCTCGCTGAGAGCAGGGCGGCGTGGGAGTGACTGTGGCGTGCTCCCGCAGCGTACTGGAACGCCACGCGGGCCTTCATGATCCTGTCCGCCCTGTGCGCCACCTCCGGCATCGTCATGGGCATCCTGGCCTTCGCTCA